GGCCAGGGCCGGGCGGCCCCGCCACGGCCCCGCCGGCGGAGGTCGTCAACTTCGCGGGACAACCCATGCTCCAGTCACTCGTCGGCCCCGAGGCCCAACAAAGCCGCGAATGGTCTTCTGGGCCCAGGCGCCCGGCCACTGCGGGAGGCAGCAGAATTCCTCGGCGTCATCCGCGGAGATTGACACGCACCCGCCCTTCGGGAGGAACGGCTCCGCGAACTGCGAGGCGCGGGGGGGGGGGGGCGGCGACGCGCTCGAAGTGGGCGCGTCGGCCGCCGGGCATCTCTGCGGCGAACGCATGCTCGCGGAAGTTGCGGCGACGCCTGCCGATGGTCCCCCTCGGTCGGCGGTCGCCCTCCTTCGCTGCGCCGGAGAGCCCAAGTGCTTCCTGCTCGTATTGTTTGCTGCGCGCGGTGTTCCCTGCGCGCAGCGTTTACTGCGCGCAGCGTTGACTGCGCGCGGTGTTTCCTGTGCGCAATGTTCTGCGCGGTGTCTCCTGCGTCGCGTTTCCTGCGCGGCGTTCCCTGCGTGGCGTTTTTTTGTTTCTGCGGCGATTACTGCGCGGCCTTTCCTGCGCGTCGTTTCCTGCGCACGGTTGCCCGCGCATTGCATCCGGCGCGTTGTTTAATACGCAGCGTTGCCCCCATGAGAAAGCGCAATGCGTCTACGCGCTGTTTTGTTTTACGCAATGCTTTTTTCCTCCGCAGTGTTTGTTGTTGTCGTTGTTTTAATGCGCGCGGTGTTGTTCTACGCGCTATATGTTTGTCATTACACGCGGCGTCTTGCGCGTCGTACTTCTCCTGTCGCGCATTGTTTTGTTCGCAGCGTTTCTGTTCGTAGTGTTGCTTACGCGCGTGCGTTTCCTGTGTACTTCGCGCTTCCCGCGCATCACTTTCCGCGCGTTGTCTCCCGCGCATTGCCCCCCCGTTTTGTTGGAGGAGAAAACGCTGCGCGATTTGCGCGCCGCTTGTTTCACGCAAAGTGTTTACGCAGGTTTTTGTTGTTACGCAGCGCTTTGCCGTCTCAACGCAATGCTATGTTGCGCAATACCTTGTTTTCCCCCTTCAATTCATGTTGAGGCAGCATGCATTACTCGCTGCGTTTTTGTCTTCTACGTCGGGTTTTCTGTGGACGCTGTGTTTTTGTTAACGTCGCACTTTTGCGCATTTCTATTTCCCACGCGTAGTGTTTCCTGCGTTGCGTTTCCGGCGCAGCGTTTCCTGCGCTGCGTGTCCTGCGTGTTTTTGTTGTTTTTTTCTGCGCCCTGAAAACTGTTTCCTGCGTGGCGTGATTTGCGTAGTGCTTCCTCCGTCGTGTTTCCTGCGTCATGTTTCGTGCATCGCATTTCCTGCGTAATGGTTCCAGAGCAGTGCTTGCGTAATGTTATATGCGCAATGTTTCCTGCGCGGTGTTCCCTGCGTGGCGTTCTCTGCGTAGCGTTCCCTGCGCGGCGCGTCCTGCGCGGCGCGGCGTTCCTTTGCGCCGCGTTGTTGCGCGCGGCTTTTTCTACGCCGCGTTTTTGTTTACGCAGTTTTTGCTTACGCAATATTGTTTCCGTGATGCGTTTTTGGCATCGCAGAACTTGTTCGGAAAAGCAGTTTAAACACATGGTGTTTCTGGTTTGATTGTTTAGGCTGTTTTGCCGTGTCTATATATATATATATATATACACATATATAACAACAACAAACGTAGCGTTTTACGTCGCATTTGTGCACGCAGCGTTTCGACGTAGTGTTTTGTCGCGCGCAATGCGTTCTGGTCACTGCGTAAAACACACTGCGCCATAAAGAAAAAACGCTGCGCATTACCAAAAAAGCGCGGGCAGCAGTGAAAACACAATAAGCTAGTAACAGGGGCCAAAACACCGCGCATAACAAACAACACTGCGTAAACAAACACTGGGTTCCATAAACACGGCGCTTTGGGTTGTCGTTTTTGTATATAGAAAACCGCATCAGAGAATGCTGCGTATATAAATTCAACTTACGCTTAAGACCTAGCCTCGCATCCAGCAGCTCGCTCTTCAAAATCCTGGCGGCGCTGCGAAAGTCGTCGCGCGGGGCGGCGCCGCGGGGCCGCAGCCCTCCGGGCGCCGCTCGCCACCGGCCCCTGCCTCGCTGCGCGGCCCGCGCGCCCGCCTGCCGTGGGGGGGGGCGGCGGGCGGGGGGCGGCCAGCGGCGGCGTCGCCCTCTGAAGGGGGGCGCCTGGCGGGCGGGACCGAGGGCCCCCGAGGCCCGTCAGGAGCCCCTCTCCCTCCGCGCCCGGGCTGCCCGCCACGCGGACGACCTGCCCGCTCTTGCACGGCAGCCTCGCGGGCTGCGTCGACCTCGCCGCCCGCTGCGCCCTCGCCATCGCACTCGTCGGCGGTGAGGCACCTTTCCCCGTCGATCTGCCCCTCGACGGAGAGCTGGAAACCAATGCGCCCTGGGTCGCCCTGCGCCGCGGGCCCGGGGAACAAAACGGGGCGAAGCAAGACCCCGACGTTCCAGCCTTTGGGCTGCGGGGCGAGCTCGGCCAGCTCGAATCGAAGAACTCGAGGACCTCGTCCTCAGCGCAGTTTTCGGTCAACCTCCCCAGGGGCGTGGGCGAGACCGACATGCAGCCAACGTCCGCGGGCATCTCCTCGCCGAGGGCTGACCGCAGCGTCATCGAAACATGGCCCACGGAGGCGAGCGAGCTGGCGTCATCGTGCTGGAGACAAACGGCGGGCACCACAACCAGGAGCTCCTCCAGCTCGAGGTCGTGCAAGGTGTCCTTGGCGAAGCCGCCAATGGGGACGGGGCCGTCGAGCTTCGCGAACTTGGCCCCGACGACGCGGGCTTCGCACCAGTCCGCAACGCCGGCGGCGCGCGCTCCTGCCATCGGCATCTCGAGGAGCCATGAACGCAGCAGGACGTCCACCGTCTGCTGCAACGCATCTGCAGGCAACACCGTCACCGCGCTCTGGCCCAGTCGAAACCCTGACGGTGGGCGGTGGGGGGGGGTCCTGCTACTCGGAGAAGAACTTGTCATCGCTTCTCCCACAAAGGGAAAACGACGCAGGCGATCGCGCCCGCTGGTGTACTTGCCGTCCCCGAGCCTGGCCACGATCGCTTGCCACGCGGTCGCGCCTCACTTGTGCACACCCACGGGGTCCTCGCTGGAACCGGGGGCGACCTGAATCGCGTAGCAGTGGCTGCCAGCGGCAGCGGCGGCCCGAACCATAGGTCTGGCACTTACCGTTCCGCCGCCTGCGCTGGGTGTTTTCCGGGACGGCAGCCCAGGGCGCAACCTCTGGGCCCTCCGCCGCTTCAGGGGCGGCCTCCTCGCCGCTGGGAACGGGCCTGGAGTAGGCCCCGGATCCAAAGGCACGTTCGTGGACGGCCCGCGCTCTGGCCGCGGGGCCTCCACGCATCAACCGCGGGCGCGCCTGGCGCGTAGCGCGGGGCGGGCTCGGTCCGAGAAAGCTGCAAATCACTTCCTTCGACTATCAGAACCACTGTGCTCACATCAGCATCACCATCACCGTCATCGTCATTGTCGTCAGGATCCTCCGTATCACCATCATCAGCATCACCATCATCATAATCATCGTCAACATTATCATCCTCAACATCATCATCATCATCATCATAAACATCGTCATCACCATCATCATCATCATCACCATCCTCCTCATCATCATTAACGACAACAGCACCATCACCGGTGACCCACAGTAGTCACTCCACCAGCTAGGTTGGTCATTACAAAATCTACTCAAAGTAAAAAAAAAAAAAAAAAAAAAAAACGCAATTCCAACGAGCAGCCTAAAAAATACTCGGGCATTCTCCACTTCACAACAACGAGCACTGCATACTGTTTGGTTTAACGCCTCCAACCGAAGCCCAGTTGGCCAATGAAAAAGCGCGGCTTGGCCGGTTTAAGGTCCACTTGGCCGGTGTAGACTCTAATAGCCCACCTGCCAGCAACGGCAGAAAGCGCTCTTTCGGATCACGCTTCCCCCAGGACCATTTTCCTTCTTAACGAACAAAGACAGGGACGCACTTCTACTACCCTTGCCGTCGCTGCCCCTGCCATTGCCGTTTTCAACACCGATACATCATCGCAACCACCCTCGTTATTACAACCACTGCTTGCATACACCGACACCTACACCCATGTTTCATCCATGGCCTCCGCCTGCACCCACTCCTGGATTCTCATACACTCCCACACCATGACACGTCCTCTACCTATCACACCTACTTCCACTACCAGACGTACCGCATCAGTTTAATGAGACTGCTCGTGCAAAAGTTACGACTGTTGATACTGCGACTAAAACGACGGCGACGACGACTACGCCTTCGCCCAGCCCTGCCCACACCCCGAACCCGTACCATTGTTCCAACTCGGACTCCTGCTCCAACTCCGAGTGCCGTGTTTGTTATTACTAGTCTTCCTCCTAGTTCTCGTCGTCTAGCCCATCCAGCTCCTGCGCCTGCTTCAGGAATGAAGAGCCACAGTGCACGCAAAGCATCGCACCCGATTCTGGGGTCCTGAGTTTTTCGGCATCTGCCCTGTGTTCACGTGCTGCAATCGCTCTCCAGTCAAGACTGTGGGGGATCGGCGTTCGGCGCCTGTCGTGCTCACCCTTCGTGCTCCCGAACAGGCACTCACGAGAGGACGATGGGCATGATCGATGCTCCTCATACGTGGATTTCGCAGATGCCTCTTCCCCCGTCCCCAGAAAAGGGCCCTCCGGCATCTGGAACTAGTCCTCGTGATGACAAACAAACACGCAGTGAGGAGCCAAAGAGGTTTCACGAGTGCTCAATGTTTTCCTTGATACCATCCAGAATTGGTTCCATGTGTTTACCGCACAGGGCAGACAGAATAGATATATTCAATGCGACAAGGAAGGGGAATGCGTGGATGGGGGAGTGGTGAGTGGGTGATGGGAATGATTGGGTGGGACAGGTCTCTCTTCTTTGGCTCCACAACTTCTTGCACCCAGCGCTGAGAAACCGCCCCGCCTTGCCCTCCTGGTCTCGCAGCCACTCGAGCCCGCCTGGCTTGGCGCGGACGGTGCGTGGGCTGTCTCCCCAGTCCAAGGCATGGGGCTTGGATGAGAAATCGCACAGGGGCGGAACCTTAGCGGCAAAGCATATTAGGATACAAAGTGCCCTTCTGATTTTTTTCAGCTCCGTCGCCCTGGAGAAACGGCCTGTGGAAACTGGCCTGCCGTCGAAAACGCGCGTTCTGAAAACACAACTCTACTCTGACACAAAAGTTACCACCAACGCGCAAAATCTCCCTGTGCAGAACCTCTGCGATGCAGTACCCATGTACATACGGATTGAGAGGATGGTCGGACATCCAAACATCCTGGGATGCTCCCAAGGCCTGCCCCAACCATCGTCCAGAGGTTCCGTCGTGTTCGAAGAAAGGGCTCATGGCCAACCACCTGCACGCATGAGTTCGCGGGTCCTCTGTCGGAGGGCTCCTGCAGAGGAGGGGGGCCCCGCATGCAGGACACCATGCTGGGAGGGAGGCTTTCCCTCCCAGGCATGAGTCGTATTAGCAACCAGCTTCTGCGACCTCGGGCTGGGACTTTTGGGCGGACAGTTCGGCGATTGCCGGGCAAGCTCGCAGCATCCACGGCGTTTCGACACGCCTGCGCCGCTTCCGATTCCCAGTCCCGAGCGCCAGCGAGAGCGAGACCGAGAGCCGGCAATAGGACCCCGCCGGGTCTGATAGTAAACGCCTGACCACGACGAGCCCCAATCAGAAATCTACCCGGCATCAGTCGCCGGTTCCGGGGCAAGAACACGCCACTGCTCGAAGCAGCGCGCGTATGAACGACGCCGAAGACGACGAACAAACATTTGCACGCCTATTATTTGAGAGCGGTCTTTGGACGCTTCCACGCAAACTCGAAAGGTCCCTTCAAAATTAGCGTCGAGTCGAGGCAGTGCGGGTCCCAGTGACAGGGAGTAAGTGATGGATGGGGGAGAAGAGGGGGGAGGGGAGAGGACGGAGGAGTGGGGGAGGTGGAGAAGGATGACGAGGATGAGGATAATGGTGTGGATAAGGAAGAGAACAACCACACGCTACGTCGATGTCGCTACGCTTACCTTTTCTGGCAAGGCCGCTGTAAAGGGTAGGCGACGCTCGGAGAATTTCCTGCTTCGCGCTCCTCCGAGTGCCTCATAATGCCATCTCTTCGTGTAATTAATTTCTGGGATTCTGTGCTCCTTGACCGTCTTGGTCTACCAGCCACGTGCCCGAGGTCTTCTGCGCAAGACCCTCGGAAACGTCTGTCAAAGACTCCACGTAACTTCTGCGGGTCTGTCTTGCCGAGGCCAACAGCAGCCCTCCGATGGCAGATGCGCCCCACCACGTTCATCACCCTCTGGTTCCGAGTACCCGTCAGAAGAGGAGGCGGCGGCAGAGGAGGATAAATTAAGGGAGGGGGAGGGGGAGACAACGCCACCTCAAGCTCAGAGGCACACGCGCGGCCGCATCGCATGACTGTCGGAG